TAGACTATAGATTATATGCATTTATAATAAAAGTTAATGTATAGAATACAATAAAATAAGAATCTTTGTGAATGTTTAAGAATTATTTTCTATTCCATTCTCACTTTAGTAAAGGGTATAGTCGGATAAGAGAGTCAAAGGTGCCTTTCAACCGAATTGGACTAGTCCTGGTCCATTCGATAGATTACCAAGAAACAAAAATTTGTACCATTTTGCAACCTTCTATTTCGACCAGGAGGTGAGTAACAGGGGAAATTAGGATTATCCGGTTTCCTTCCATTTTCCCTATTTAATACTATGCAAAAATTCTGTAGAAAATCTGATAGATGGTAGTTTTGGGGACACGTATTAAAGAATTCATCCCGTTTCTTTGGTTGAAAAACCTAGTTGTCAAAAATGAAAACTTTGTACAAATATGAAATTCCATAAATATCTGCAGTTCTGGCTAAAAAATTGTTTAATTTTAAAATCTTAATTTGATTTGTGTTGTACTTAATCTATACATATATTTCCTGTTGCGTTCAATTATTTATTTTCAGCCTCGTACAAAAACAGCGTTTACATAATCGTTGTATAATTATTTCTTCGTACGTACAGCTGTAAAATTTGTTCTCACAGTTTATTGGAAAGAATCAGGAACACCGTACGTAGATTGCTCGATATGTATTGCGAAATTGTAACCCAAGTGTTGCGATATATGTGTGACGTTTCCTCCGTAAGGTTTTACCTCTATGACGGTAATCCTACTCAGAACGTTTTATCACATTCGCGCTATTTGTTGTGTTTTGTTCACCTCGAAAATTTTACCTGGGTTGAAAAATGGATGTAAATCGTGAACATTTTCGTGGGATGATTTATTATGATTTTCGACGTGGAATATCTGCACAAGAGTGCATCGATCAACATAATTCGACTTTTGGCGATGATACTCCACACAGAGCCACTGCATTTCGCTGGTTCAAGGAGTTCAATCGTGGATGTGCTTAGCTGGCAGAGAGTTTTCAGGAGGTCTTCCAAAATCAGCTGTTGTGCCAGAAAACATCGATGCTGTGTGTGAATTGATAACGGAAGATCGTCATATGACATATCGTGAGATGCAGACATCCTTGGGCATTAATATGACTAGCATATATACGATATTACATGAACATTTGGTCGTGAAGGAGCTGTGCGCGTGTTGGATCTCGCATAATTTGACGATAGCTGAAAAAAAGGCTCGTGTGTATTGTTCTAGAGAAATGCTGACAAAATACGGCCGCGGTGCGTTCAAAGCCGCGTGTAATATCGTCACAGGTGACAAATCAGGGATTTATCAGTATGAGCCCGAAACAAAACGCCTGTTAACTGTTTGGGTGTTCCAAGATGAAGCAAACCCGACGAAAGTCACTTTGAAGAAAATGGTTGCATGTTTCTTCGAAAAAACTGGACATGTGGCAACTGTGGCTATAGAAGATTGTAGGATGGTAAATTCTGATTTGTATACAGTGGACTCTAAGTACATTGCCATGGTCGGGGCTCTAGGAGAGTAAAATGGCAATGAATTCAGAACCCCCTCCATGCTAAGTTCTGACGTCATAGCGTCAGCCTCAGTGCCTGCGCAAAAGCTAGATCGTATTGGTGCGCCGGCGTACGCAATGTGGTAGGAGAGCGAATTTGTGTGCTCGAAAGTACGTGTGAAGGGGAAATGTCTCGCGTGGCAATATGTTTAATGGCAATATAGTTAGAGTCCACTGTACAAACATTTGTTTTCCAGAAGTGTTCGAAGAAATAAGAAAAAATGCGAGACGGCGTATCATTCTCCACCACAATGCAAGCTCTCGCACGTCGGCCCAAACAACTGAATATTTGGGCACCCAAAACATCGAATTGATGAGTCATCCGCCGTCCAGCTCCGATTTGGCACCCAATGACTTCTTTTTGTTCCCCTACGTGAAGAACATACTTTGTAGTCAACGTTTTTTGACGCCCCAAAATGTGGTTGATGCGTTTCGAAACCATGTTTTGGAGATCCCAACTTCGTTATGGCATAAGTGTTATTAAAATTGGTTTGAGCGCGTGTACAACTGTATAAATATTCACGGAAAACACTTTGAGAAACAGTAATTGAGTTTTGAACGATAAACAGTTGTTTGTAATACTTTGTCGCAATACATATCGAGGAACCCTCGTATAACATATTACGTCTCGAGAGTAGCATCAAAATCTAAATTTCCTCCGTAAAAACAAACTTCGTTTATTTGATGAATTTTCAGTGGGTCCGAAAATTTCGCCGCAAGTTTTCATGTACGTCGTTCCTGTCACTTTTTACGGGCGACAATACGAGTTCTTCGCCGGCCGCCGTTTATTTCAAGGAGTTAAAAAATTAAAAGCTAGTGACGCGCAGGAGTTTCCATGCGTTGGGCCGCTGGTAGTGGCTGCAAAATGCTCTCGAACTAATTTCAGACAGCTGTACACGGTCTGAAATGAAATCCCATTTAATTTAACTCTATGGAAATAATTTCACGCCAGTTCCGCGATACTCTACCATTCTATCTGACTGTAATAAAATGAATTACTTACATCGCGGGATCTTGGTAATCGAAAGCGTGAATACTCTTTCTTCTATGATTCATATGACTGTATTAGGTAGTATACTACTTTTTTGCAGTTATACTTTAAATTATCTCGTTTCATTGTTTTATATGTTAAAGTTTGGAATGGTGTCGTGTATTAAAGAATCTGGAGATGTTTTCGTGTAATAATTACATTTGGATAGTGGTGAATACAGTGGACTCTAAGTACATTGCCATGGTCGGGGCTCTAGGAGAGTAAAATGGCAATGAATTCAGAACCCCCTCCATGCTAAGTTCTGACGTTCTACTCATGAAATTATTTATATCTAAATAGATCACAAGATACTTTTTATTGAAACAAGAAATAGAATTAGCAAGTGGCTTTAAACTGTTAAAGGGACGTGTAAATAACTATTTACTTATTTAGCATTTTTGAAATTAAAACTCATATGTAATCTGTGTACTAAACGTTAAAAGGTGTTTATATACTATTACAACAGTTATTACTGTTAAGTTTTTGGAATAAACTTAAATTGACAGAAGATAAGTTAACAAAATCAACATAAAATTATTTCTCATTAAATAGTTACATCATTGTATCTACCTTAAAATAGAATGAAATGTATTAAATTAATTTATTCTTTCGTACTCACTGTGCTAATTTAAATAGAGTGAATTTCTTCGTATTTCTCGACACGAAAGCTATATGTACTATTCCCAGAACAAATAACTCTTGCAAAATCCTTCAATGCTTTAATTAAACTCACACATTTCACGGAAACAGCATTGTTCTTTCTCCTTGAAACAAGAAGAAATCCTGAATAACCATCGCCGAAGGAATAGGAAAGAAAAAATTTCATAATGATCTCGTGGCAGAGGGCTCGCGTTTTCGTTTTACTGTTAGTACGTTAGTTAAAGAGTTTCATTCTGTGCTTGTGGTAGCAATAATTGAATAGAACTATCAACGATAAACGTATATTTATTTCTATCGGATCAATAAACATGATAAACTGTTGAAAATATAGAAATGTATAAGCTAATTAATTTTTCACTTTTAGACTGTGGATTTAAGTCTACAATGCTCTGTGGAATACAATAGAAGATAAACCTCTCATCAGATACAACGAGTTTTTTATTTTACTTTCGACCCAATAGGGCACTTAAAAAGAGAAACAAAGTCCTACATTTGCTCCTGAGCTTATGAATTACTTTAGAAAATATTATTTTGCAGAAAAATCCGCAGTCTAGTTATAACATTCTAACAATCGTTATAGGAGTGTAGTAACTAATCATTTTGACTGCTTCGGTAGTTCCAGTGCCAATGGGAGCACTCCTTTTACGAAACAGTGAAAACTATACTGCACAGTGCACGACGACGAAATAGCTGTTGATCTATAAAATGAAGTTACCCCTCTGGCTAGGCGCATCGGTTCAGGCAATGCGCACCGCCTTATCGCCGTGCTATTGCGTATCATAGATTTACGTTTCCGTTGGTAACATGTGCTTATAATATTATTTACGTTTATAGCGCCATAATGCACATTCAGTCGAAAATAACAAACAGAAACCTTCACTGCGCCTCCTGTTTGTTGGTGGGGAGAGGATCTTACAGAGAAAAAGTTTCGAAAAACGCAACGGGACAAAGAAAACAATCCAACGAAACGGTTCTCCCCCGCGATTCTGAATGTAAGAAGCTGCGGGAAGAGAAATGACGGGCTTGTGAACGACAGATGGAAAGATAATGGCGAATGAAGGTCGGGGAAAAGAAATCGGGGAAAATCCATTTAAAATTGCTGGAGTAATTACAACGAACAACGAATGGGAAACATTGAAATGTGTGGCAATGTCTACATTGATTTGCGCATTTATTTAACCCTTTCCGACCGTAGGATTCCATTTTGAATCATTTACTTAGCATTCATATTTCATATTATTATCCTTAACATTCAATACGGTATCGTGTTGTATTTTAATTTTTTTTATTTGATGGATACTTGCTTGAAAATAATATTAAGGGATTGTTTAATGAATATTCGTCTTTGAATTTAATCAATTTGCTTGTTTATAAACAATTTCGGTGGTAGAATAAATACATTGTTTCAATTTCCGTTTTTTTGACATCTAAAAAGTAACTTATATGCAGAAAATATTTCTTTTGGTTTGAAATAAATACATCAGGTCAGGGAAGGTTAAACAACTTCGAAATAATAATATAATTTTTTTAAAAAAGTAGCTGTAGAATTTACGCTGTAAAGTTTGTTGAACTGTGTCAAATATGTTTAATTATCGTTTTTCAAAGAGTGGACTTTATCAACGTTTGGAGCGATTTTTTATATATATCTCCACCCAATCTACAGCAACTTTACAATTAAGGAGAATATACCAATAGATCGAACAAGAAAATTAGAAATTGCGATGTCCTGAATCTAAATTAGAATAATAGTCCTCCAAATTGTGACACATGTTAATAAAAACAACATATGCTATAAGTTAAAAGAGAACATTTCCAACCATACAAAAATATATCCACTGCTCCAATTCTTCAAAAGAACAAAACTATTTACAAGTGTAATATAACTGAATAATACGTCACGAATAACATACTTCAATAAAATTTCGAAAATTCTAAGTGATGAAGTGAAACTGTTTACATTTACCTGATTTTGAATCACTGAATACAATGGTAATCTCACTTCTGGCCCCATGTGTAAAGATTTTTTTTAAATTTAATTGTGAATATGGTATACAGGGTGTCATGTAACTGGTGGTACAACTGATTATGAGTAAGGGCTGATTCTACGCGAAAATATAAGCCGAAATGTATAATAAAATTTGTTCATTTAAGACTTCGTTTTCGAGAAAATCGAATTTGAAAATCTGGTCGACACGCGTGCAATTGAATATGTAGGACTTCACTAACGCGTCTGTTTAGTGCACTTCGTTTCCACTTACTACCATGAATACACGCATTTCAGATTAATATTCAAAGTCGTTTTTATATTCATATCATATTGTGAGTAACTAATCAAAATACTCATGAAATTATTTATATCTAACATTTATATTTTACTTAAATCCATTACAATTTTTATTATTATTGGTTAAATACGATAGAAATGAAATCCGAAAAATTCTACAGGGTGAATAATTCAAGAAATAAATCCAACTGAACAGTGCTAGCTTTATCTTTAAAAAGTTGGACTTTGTGACATATAGGGGAAAGACTAACAGTAGCATTGTGTTCAACAACCTTTAATTAACACAAAAACCAGGTTTAGGTACATCATCTTGGGACTTGGTGAACACTATCTTTTCTAGTCGATGCGACGTGAATGACAGGAAAAGAGAAGAAAAGTTTAACAAGGTATTTTGCTTAAAATCCAACAGAATCCTTGATAGGGTAAACAATTGTTTTTGAAACAAATTTTTTGTAAAGTACGTCATGGAAGTTTGTGTTGGCACGTACCTACATCCGCAGTCTAACGAATGTTTATAGCTCGATCGAGTGACAGTAGACAGCAAGGAAAAAGGAATAGTCGTTAGACTTGCTTCGCGGAATGGAAAAGTCTGTATGGTGATTATGTTTGTTAGAAGAAAGCCGCACAGCAGGCCCAGCTGAGAAAATAAAGCGGAGCGTGATGCTTCTTACGTCACGATTAATAAAATTCCTTATTACGGAAGAGGAAGCCCACCGTTACGTCCAAGATACTAATTCAACGCTGACGCAAACATTCCGTAGAAGTTAAGAATTTTACGATATTTAATATAGGTAATAAGTTGGCCCCGGAAAGTTCGATAATAAGCTGTTCCGGAAAAGTTTCGGTGCTGGGAAGATCGCTGCCTGTTGCGCGATATATTGATAAATCTGATGGACGGGGGCGATTTATGGCGGTGATCAAGCTG